TGTATGCAGATGTTTGCACTCACGTCAGTTTTTCCCAGTGCCTTGCTTGCTGTGGGCATGCAGATGTTGCTGGTGAAGGACATATTTAGAACTTTAAAGCCTGTCAGCTGACCCTGTGCTGCCTTTGTTTGGCGCGTCGGTGATTTTAGCTCAGCTCTGTTCAGCAGGTCCCTGAACTGTGCTTTACAGTGGGTGACGTTATAATTTCTGACATGAGAAGTCACAAATGGTTACTTTACTATCAGAATCTGCCCAATAGCTCTCTGCTCAGTTTTGCCAGTGGAGGAGTCCTACTTTTAGGACTTCTATTTAAAATACAAGTACAGTAGGTATGAAGTACACCAGCTTGACCACACCAAGAACTAACATTGGGAGATGACTACATGAAGGCTGTGGGATGTGTTATTCTAGGATGTCCTAACTGCCAGAAATGCAAATGGTGCCACTTTGAGTGTGTCTGAACAGGATCCACGTGCTCCAGAGGTAGGGAGCAGAGGTTGCAGCCCTCTGGAAGGGAACCCTGAAGTGCCACCGCTCACAACACAGCACTGACACAGCTTCGCCCCTTCCTGGCCAGGCTCTGATCCGCTGAAACAAGTGTTACAGAGGCTCTGAGGTTTTTGGCAGTGTAAGGCAAATGCAGTTCAAGCTCTCTTCATGTTAATTCACATTTGTTGCTGCTTGGATAAGCATGTAGTGACAGCTTTCATGAGGCAGGAACCTGTCCATTGGAAAATGGATCATGACCACCAACTCTTGCACATAAACAACTGAGCAATCATCTAATGGTCACTAGTGAGACACCCTAGGTCTGTGCTGGTGACCTAGAGGTGAAATGACTTTCTTTGTCTGTCTGAATCCCTGGAGCATTCAGACCCCTGATTGGGTTGGGAGGGAAGTTCTGATCTAAGCCACTGTTAATCTTTCTTAAGGTGAAAAGGTCAGAAGAGCAAGTTATTCAATGTTAAATGGTTTTTTATGCAATCAAAAAAGCTTCCTTATTTCCAATGCTGTTTTAAAATATACAGCAACACTTAAACAGTGTTTTTTTGAAAGTGATGTCAGCTTTTAGATAAATGACAAAGTCCATACACAGTGTCAGCCCCCCACAGCTGTGTCCATAGCCATACCAACAATGCCACACAATGTTTTCCTTAAATCCCATAAAGGCAAGCGACAATGCCGCAGAATGAAGCGATAACGTATTAGAGATGCTGACAATCAATCTTTAACATGTGTTATCCATTTGACTGCAGGTGTAAATCAGCATTTCAATGTCAAGTTGCTAATTTAGGGCTGTATGGTCAAACATCCAAAGAGTCCCCCAGAGAAAGTACAAGTGCACTGTTAAAGTAGGTCAAAGTCACTGCGGGTCAGGGAACACAGAGAAAAAGTTCCCCATCAATAAACCAGCTTGTCCTATGTGATATATATATATATTTAATGATACAGTAGTGTTAGATTAAACTGAACATTTAATGGGAGCTCAGACTACAGGGTCAGCACAACCAACATTCTGTCACTGCTCAGCTGACTGGTTGTGCAAGTGCTGCCAGTGTACATGACCACAGAACCAGCTGTGTAGTTCTACAGGGTGACATGAATTGACATGTGAATTATCTTTGAAGGATACATGTGACATTTTCTCCAATTTCACTTAACTCTGTCACCTCATGGATGTACAATAATTTTTCCCCTTAATTTCTATATTCAGAGAAATAGGAAAATATCTGCTGCCATTTGTTGTACTTAAGAGTTCTCTGAAAATGGAGTACATATAATTTTTCAATAGAAACTAGAGACTGAAAGTATTTGTTTTAATTCCCCTCTCCTCACTTAGGAAAGCAGTTAACTTAAGAACCTGATTAACATTCCACTGAGCTGTGCCAAATGATTCTTCCTCTTATTATTTGGCTGTAAACATTTTCTACCAACTCACTCATGGCAGCTGTTTCTGTACAATGGGGGGAAAAAGTATCTGAATGGCATTTTTGCGAATTATTTAATGGGAGACTGGCACTGCCAAAATATAAAACTGCATTCAGAAACATTGCATCTAAGGGAACTGTACCCTTCCTAATGATAGTCTAGGTTTTGGGCTGTTTATTCTGTCTCAATTTCACTGAGAAATTCAGAGCAGCAGTAGAAGCTTCTGCTTATTTTCATGGACCCCTACGCATAAAAATATGCATTAAACATTTTGTAATAAACTGACCCTGTATGATTTCTTATATGTCCACTGCAACCCAACGCACAAACAGAGCTGAGATCTCTGCAAATTCAGTCACTGACAGTCCCACCACACCACTGCTTAAAGAGAAACTTCTTCTGTAGGTGGCCTGGTGGTATATTAAAGATTAAACCAGGTCTCGAGGAAGGATTAGCAGGGGTGGGTTGGTGTGGAAGACCCTCTTCTCACTGCTCAGGGCTGACACTGCAGCAGACAAGCAGTTCGTGTGCTCCTGCATAAGCTACAGCTCCTGAAGAGATCAGGAAAATGGTGGCATCACTTTCTGTGTTCACTAGCTGGTGTTTGGATTTAAAATAAGTACCTTTTCCTTTAGAAAGCACACAGGGACAGTCTGAGGAAAAATGGAGACCCTACCTTTAGGCCTCTTGATGCTGCATTGCATCAGATTGCCCTTGTCCCCTCTGCCCAGATAACACTTAATGCAGTGACAGATTTACTGGGTACGAGCTGTTGAGTCCAAGGCACACTGCACGTGTCCTGGAGCACTGTGATTCTTAAGCAGATTTACTCGGGGGTTATGGAGAGGGCCTAGACAGAGCTGGGCTGTGTCCCTCAACCATTGGTCTTTCTCATCTGTTTCTTCAGGTCTCAGGGGGATGAAAAGCCAACCACAAGACAGAAGACGACAGACTTTGCACAGGATGGTGCAATGAGGAATGAGCATACACAATAACCTACCTGTGGTTTCTTCCAAGTTTATTCACACAGGAAGATGATGAGAGTTTTTGGAGATTTAGGCATGTTGGTAACATATTTTTTTTGCTTCATTCTCTTTTTGCTTTAAATGCTGGTAAAATCAGCACTGGAAGAGGCAAGGAAAAGGAGGGGATGGACAAACTACTGTACCAGCTGCTCTCATTTTTATAATCCCAAGCAGAAACCCAGGGAGCTCTACCTTGTGAGGGGAGTGGAGTGAGCATTTAATTTTGTGCGCTCCAGGTAAATATATAGCCACTAGTAAACTACTTTCACCAGCACCTTCATATGCACTTGTTCACTCACACTTGCTCCCCAAAGCTAATCTTATTAATGTAGATGGACTGAGTGAGTAACCAGATGGGCCAGGTTTTGTTTTGTGTCTGCCTGCACAGAACTCAGAGAATATAAGACTAGGGACAAGAAATAGTGGGTGAATGTCCTCAGCAAGAATCATGAACGTGATAACTCCTACTCTAACAGGAGTCCCTAATGCCTCTTTCAAACCATCCTTTTGTCATGACTGAATAGCTGACATATATGCTTACTTAAAACCTATTCAAAATCCATGGTCTCTATGAACTGGACATTTGTTCGTCTTTATACAGAGACTGACAAATCCTTTTATATAGTTACAGCTGTTTAAGGCAGAAACTATGTCTTTGACCCCCCAAGGAAGAGGAGTGACTCAGTCAAGCCCTACTGCTACTAAGTATGATGTACAAGGATTAACAGTGTTGTCATGAAATATGTAATAATATTTACAACTGATTATGTACTGATTATGTATTGTGTACTGATTATGCAGAAACAGTCTTAAATGTTCACAGAAATACTGTGCAGCAGTTCAGAGGCTTTTACTTCTGGAATGCCTCTGCCATTGCTCTCAATTCTCATCCACAATATAATGTTTTTGGCTGAATAGTGCCAAGCTCACCAGGCAAGTCACTTTGCAGGAGGAATCATTATGGTCCATGAAGCCAGGGAAAACCTCCTCCTCTGAACAGTTTTGGTTCATAGTTACCTTGTAGGATTGAACTAAATGTGACAGAGTTAAACACTGCTCTCAAACACTTTCAAACAAGCTTGTGTTTATTTTTGTTATTTGCATTTCAGCATCATCTAAACATAGTAATAGATCTATCACAGAGTAACAGGGTCGTAAGAAGAGCCACAAGAACAAGCTGCCCAGACTTTACACATATGCCCAATCACTGCTGGGCACTCACAATTACAGTGTCACCCCAGCGCCCCATACAAATGCCAGGCTCAGGCACAAAATTGACATGTTCAAAGATACAGATACATTTGATTAACTAGGTTGTTTCATTACAGAGTAATTTAGTAAGATAGTACATGAAAAACCCCACATATCTCTTCAGCTGCAAATTAAACTACAATTGCCTGTGGGCCAGGGTGTGACTCCCTGTCCCATCACCCCTATTTGAAAGACAGCACTGTGGGGTAACATGAGCTCCCACAATTTTTCCTCAGAAAATTTGGACTAGTAACTAACAGCTGGTGGTGGGATATCAGAGGGGGTATGAGGTTTAATTTAAAAACTAGCAAGAGCTCTGGGTTACCTGGTATATGTTAATGTGAGGTTCTGTTAGCTGGAAATGCAGCCTGCCAATAACTGCCATACTGGCATAAATGGCAAATAAAAAGTGTACTGAAGGAAATATCCTACCTCCCTAACTAGCCCAACGAAGTGTTCTGCTGAAGTGAAGAAATCACGTGCTGCTCAGTTCCCCAGAAAGTATCTTCTCCCTAAACGCAGCATGACTGACATGAATTAGGCTCCTGGACAAAAAAAATTCTCTCTTCGGGAGACCGTATCGCTACTACAGCTTGGAGGAAGACAGGAGCGGAAAGACAAAACAGGCCAAAAGTTTATGTAGAACCCTAGAATTGTTTCGGTTGGAAGGGACCTTAAAGATCATCTAGTTCCAACCCCCAGGCCGTGGGCAGGGACACCTTCCACTAGACCAGGTTGTTCAGAGCCCCATTCAACCTGACCTTGAATGACAGGGTTTGACAGAAGGTTTTTTTTCAAAACACTGAGGCTTTGCACAATATAACAAAGTGAATCTCTTTCTATTACACCACCTCTCATGACAGAGGTACTTGTGGGCAATTTCAGTAGAGGAAAAGATTCAGAAGGACATGGAAATGTGTATCCCAGCACAGGCTGAGGCATACTGGCAGTGCAATCCTATGGCCACTAAATGTGTTCTGTTGCAAAAAACAACCAGTCTTCAACCATAGCATCCATCTGCCTATTCTAACAGCACTAAAACAGATTCAGCGTCAATATTGAGTACATATCTGTTCTCAGATTCTAGGACAGCACTAGCTCGATCAGACAAATGGGTAAATGCAAAGGTGAAAGTATAGAGCTTTCTACTTCAACAGGGTAACTGAAAAGTGCTCCCTTCCCAGCAGAAAGAAATAAGAAATAAGCAGAAAGAAATAAGAAATAAGGTTATAGGGTTCTTCTCTCATTTATCTCGTGCTGTGGTAGCTGCATGAATCAGATGCTGAAATAGCTCAACACAAAGCAGAAAGTGATTTAAATGAACTGTACACACAACAACTTGAACCTTTTAAAAAAAGAAAAATAGTATTAAAATTTTAGTTTCATTTCTCCCTTCCCCACTTCCCTTTCTCAGTTAACAGTCCACCAGCTGGTTAACTGCTCTGAAGGTGCAGGCTCATTCCCACATTTAACCAGTGCTCCCCACGGGGCAATGTGCAGCCATAAGCTTCACCACCAATTTTTAATATTGAACCACAGCACACAGCCACTTCCTTAAGCTGGTGGCTGCAGTCTGAGGGACAGCACCTGCAAGAGCTCAGCAGAAGCAATTGATTCACAGCAAAATAAGATACAGCTGAGAGCTTCCTTCCACAGAACACAGCAGGAAAAGGGAGCTCTTGCCTCCAGAGAGACAGAATGACCATGATGGATACTGCCTTGCTGTTACATGGTTCCTGTTGAGCATGTGACCGTGTTTTACTCTGATTTTGTTCCCCTGATGAACACTTCACATAGGTCTTAAAAGGAAGGATAAATATCTGACAATACATGTCAGAATTTTAATCCAAAACAAATTTTCAGGAAGCCTTTTCCAAGCAACTATGAAATGTGTAGTTTTTTTTCCTAACCAAACGATAGAAGAAGTACTCCAGTTCAATAGCTCTCTTAGCAAAACCAGATGGTAAAAAGACGATAATCAAAACAGAATACAGTAAGCTGACATTTTCTGCAGGGAACTCCCCCTCCCTAATTAAAAATGATCTTACTTATTTTGTAACTAGCATGACTTTTCAAAACAAAATAAAGGATAATTTAAGTAGAAGCATAATTTGCAAAATGGTTTGGAATATTCCTTAAAACATTTTTCCACCTTTGACCACCTCAAAAGCACAAGAAAGCCTTCACTAATGCAAGAAATCTGCTCCAACTTTTATGCAAGTCAATACCATTGACTACTGAGCAAAAAAGAAACCACTGTCAAGTCTTCACTTCAAAGCACTGTTTAACTAAAGATGAATTGTGTGACCTTTTTGCACTGTACGATGGAACAGAAGTCAAAAATACCCAAGTTCTTCCACGTTCTAAACAAATTCAGCGCTGTATCTATAAGAAATTACCTCTGTGTTAGAATAGAGCACACTTTTCAGAACACAAAGTTTAAGCTAATAAAGCTTCATCGAAGCCTCAAAGAGGGCTGATAAGTCTTCTTCTGTTTGGGGACGTGGTGATAGCTTAGTCACTCTCTCCTACAAGATTAAAGAAAAACTAAATTACAAAAGATTGCCAATAAAATTAATCAAACAGTCGCTGAACTATGTGTCTCTGTACTACATCCTTTACAGAGAACAATAAGGTTTTGCAAAGAAGTAAACAAGTAATTAAGGTTGAGGCATCATCAACTGTACAGGACTTTCAAGAACATATTACCTTAAATTGCCCATAATTAAATACAGAAAAGCAAGATTAGAAAGTTGTTCAATTGCAGAGTAAAGTACTACAAATGTGGGCCTTATCCATCCAGATGTCAGTACACTGGAGGATATTATCTTGGGAACACAGTCCATGTTAAAATTCATTTGCCAGCATTGGAACTATCGAGTTTTAGGGACCAAGACTTTAAAAATACAACATCTCTCAAGGCCCAGGAACTGCTGTAAATGGGCAGAGTAAGCAGCGCTTGTAACACAGACCTCAATAAAGGGACACAGCAAGATACGGTATGAAACTTCTTAATAAACAGCCTGACACCTTGTAATCAGAACATAAAGTAGTTGTGGTTGATCTTCACTTGGGCAGTGATTCAACAGAATTTGTAGGTGCTGAAGAACCACTGACTGAAATGAAACCCAGGTATTTTCTTCACTGCTCTGTTGGAAAAAATAACCACAAAGGCAGGGGTGGAAATTCAGAAAAGCCCGTGTTACTGAGGATGAGGAGCTGTATTAGTGCAGGTCTTTGGGTACTGCAGAAACACTCAGCTGAAAGGGCCCAATGCTAAAGTACTCGTAGTGGTTGTGATGGGCACTTCTGTTTCCAACAACCAATGGTTTTAACATTTACTGAAATACTGGGAAGCATTAGAAACGTCTGCAAAGACAGAAGCCAGACTTAAGACTAGGAATGCACAGTCTTTAGATAAATATTTTGGCAAGAGGAAATTTCTACAGCTACAACCTGTTTCAACACCTCCCTTGTGGAAGGTGCTGTCCCCAGCTTTAAATCTCTTTCCCCCTTTTCACGTGTGAGACAGTGGATGTCATCTGCGAAGGTCCTTGCTTCATGCACCAAGCGGGATGCTGGGGAAGGGGCTCCTCCCGGGCAGGAGGCTGGGCTGAGCTGCCGTGCCGGGTGGAGCACACACCCCTGCCCAGGGCGATGCCGCAGCGCGACTCTGCAGCCGCTCCGCTTCCCCCTCAGCCCGCGGGGACGCGATTTGTGGGCAGGCTGGATGTGGTTACACAGCCAGAGTGCCACCACACTGCAAACTTAATGTGATATATTGGTCTAGCATGGTGAGGAAGTCAGCTGTGAGGCATTCACAGTTCATAATCATGGTTAGCGTGGCTTGTGATGAGTATGAAAAGTGCAGCTTTGTGTGCATAATTTTACCTAAAGGAGAAGCTTTGCTAGTGCATAAGTAGTAATCAAATGGTACCTCTTTCCCCATCCCTGACCAGTGTTGCTAGATACACACAGATCCAGCCAAAAACAAACTTAAGATTCTTCTATGCAGTTTTGAAACCAAATGCAAAATTCAAATAGCACTAGGGCAAAAGTGTGTCGCTTTTTTTCAGACTCATAATACGCAAAATATAACAATTCAGTGCTCAAATATTCACAAATTCATCAGGCTTACATTAGGACACTGTGGGCCAAAGTACAGTTTTGCAGCTCTGTGCACTGAGATGGCCAGAGTTATCCATAAAGCCACACCAGGAGACAGAAGACAATCAGCCTGACAGACTGTAGCATTTCCCAACTATATTGACAGAAGGCTGCAAACGGATGCTCCTCCTTTAGGCCTCGACACAGAGGCACCAGCACTACCTCTGCACAAGCTTGCTGATATTTGCTGGTGTCCAGACAGCAAGGCCCTGGCTCCCTTACTCTGACTCAGTGCATTCTGGTCTAGAGCCAAAACCAAGTAGCTCAAGGCTCATCACTGGTTCAGCTCCATTGTAGCTGCCTCTGGGATGTCTGCAGGGGTGGGTGGGCTAGAAAACAGCCTTTCCATCATCTCTCATTTTTTCTCATCCTCTTCTCTGACACACCACAACAGAGACAGCCACCTTAGACATCAAGACAGCATCTTCTGCTAGAATCACTGCTGTCCGCAAATAGGATCAATATCAATAGACTCACTTCGGAAGGAAAACACGTTCTGTTTTCACTTCAAGCACAGATGTTTGTCCCAACAGAGTTCCCACCTAAATTCTGACAGTCAGATTAGATTTGTTTTCCTGCAGCCTGCACTTCACACCGTGGAATAAACTTTGCACACTTTTCAGTGCTATAACAACTGCTATCACACTGCTTTGTTGACATGAATTGATGGGTCAGTGCTGTATTCCAAAGCAAACCTACTGCAAGATGAAAAGATTAAAATGTATGGACTAACCCTGTGGGTATTAACAAACTATTAAGGAACAGTAATACATTTTCATCATGTAACATCTTATATACAAAAATAAGGGTTGAGAAACTATCAGGCCAACTCATTTTACACAGTACAATCATCAATGCCATGAGGCCCCAGTAAATGAATTAGAAGTCAATTTGAGCTAAGCTAACAAACAAGAACCTTCCCCCTCCCCTAGCTATGCAAAACTAGTCTTCAATGAGATGTTTTGCTTATGATGACCTAAACGTAATTGTTTTAAAGAAACATATTTATCTAAACAACCCCCGCCCCCACATGTCCCATAACAATTTAGATGCATAACCTGTTTGATGGGTACTCAGAGACCTTAGTTTTCTCCCTGGCTTTGCCACCACTCTGTTATGTGCGATCCTACATAATTGCACCTTTGTGTCATTTTCTCAAGTATAAAATAGGAGTATTAATATTTACTGTTAATATAACTGTTCTAAGTTGCTCTGAGATTCGTGATTGAGAAGAACTAGATATAGTAAGAGGTCTGCTGTAAAAAGCAAATAATCTTTCGGCCTAAAAAATTTTCACTTTCTCCGTAGTGTTTATTTCCCTTGCAACTTGGTGGAAATAAATACTAAGTGGACAGAAGAGTCCACAGCACATGAATCAAACTGTCTTTTTACAAGGAAGACACTGGATTTTGCTTTTAGAGTAGTGTGTTATTTTCCGTAGTGTCTTTGTGGGCACTGAAGCAAAAAACAGTCTCACAGGTTTAATCTATATCATCCCAGGGGACCTTATTTCAAATTCTGATGGGGGGTCAATGGAACAAAAAAGCCATCTGGGAAGAAAAATGCAACTTCTCAATATGGAAAGTTTAATGCAAAGTGAGCTCGGTCATTCTTACCAGATAGCACTTGGTATTAAGGCTTTATCTATAGCCCACCTGCATACATAATTAACAGGGATAGTTCCAAAAAGCAGTATCTTCTACAAAGATCAAAGGTCTATGAAAAAATTCTCTTTTTCAAAAATGTGACATTTAAAAAGAACCCCAAACATTTAGCCATTACAGACTGCAGCATTCACTCAATCCCACTGAAAAGAAAAACCTAAACTGTGGAATGAAACAAAATACAGTTGACTATCCATAATTTTCTTCATGTTAATTGTTTTCATGCAGGAATAGAAATAACATTTGCTTGAAAAGAAGCAATTCTGATTTTTCCAGAATCTGTTCTATTTTATTTGACAAGAAGAACTGTTTTGCTTTCTGTCTTACCTGAGGCAGAGTGCCTTTGACTAATGCAGGGATGTCTGCTTTGGAATAACCAATTGCAGCTAAGCCATCATCAACATTCAGATCAAATAGGAATTTCCGGAGTGTGTCTGCCAAAATAAACCCCGCATCTTTGATTCTGGCAGTGCGGATGTCAGCTCCTAAAATAAGACATAATGCCTTGACTGTAGGGCGGAGAGAGCGGAGGAAGCCTGTTCTGGACTTAATTTAATCATAATATCAGCTGAATACAAATCCATACACAACAGTCACTACCCTAAAAGCAACACGAAATAAAAAGAGGAATCAGCCTTCATTTTACAGTTGGAGTAGTTTGTGAAAGGTGAAATAAAACAAGATCAGAAGCAGGTAAATGCTGCCAAAAAGACTAACTGCCACATGAGGTTAACTTCCTTTTCCTCTGTGCTTACAGGGAGAAGAACTTTTCAGACTGACTAACTGCTGGGAGGAAAGAAGCTAATGCACGAACCTCAATGGTATTTATTTTTATGGACAGTGTGCCAAATGCTAACTTCATTTTAATGCCTTGAGTTTGCTGACACCTAGAGGACTGTTCTGTTCAATTACAGATTAACATACAGGACTAGAGCATGTAGGCTGAAAAAGGCAAGAGACGGCAGGGAAGTGTTCAGGGGGCTGAGTAAATCCTAAATTTAATGCTATTTGAGTATGTGTTGACTTGTGTAGGATAATGCAGAACTGAAGAGGAGGAACTGCTATCTTTGAGACAACTATGGAACAGTAATGAAAACATCAATAGAAAAAGAAAGATTATTAATAGTTCTTACAGAATAGCTTGCTTCCCCTTTATCAATGAATGGTCAGGACTTACTTAAAAGTAATAATAAAAGCATGTTAGGACGAAAGACATGGGTTCCTCCATACAATTTCTTTTTCAAAGTAACCCGAGCTAAACTGCTTCTCTGTGTAACCTCAGTGATGTTACACCAGAACTATGCGAGGTCTAAGTGCCATACCAAGAGTTGAGTAAGAGCACTAAATAGCCACAGGGAAAATACTTTCTATGGTCCTCACACAGTTCAGTGGAACATTCAAAGAGAGTTAAAGTGAACAGAAAACCTACCAGCTCATTTGAAGAGCTCAGATATTTGGGTACTAAGACTGGCAGTGCTATAGCAGATAATATCTGGGAGAAATTGATAAAAAAGATATGAAAGAGTCTTGTATGAAGTCTTGTGGATTATGGCATGAAGTCCGAGTTTATCCTGGGTTTTGCTATGGAGGAGAAACTGAGACATAAATAAACTACCTTCAGATAGTAAAGTAAAAGGCAAAAGCAGGAGGATAAAACATAACAGTAAATGTGACTGGCAGTTTTAAAATACTGCTGTAGTTCTAGAATTTTCTTTTTGCTCAACCTCAGAAAATTTCTGACCACACGCACAACTATTTCAACTATTTAAGAATCCATCCAGGGAGGTATTAAGATTTTTCTGGATCTACCCAAATTCACAGCTGTACATACACACAACATAACTATTTAGCACTCTGCTTCATGTCATAAAATACCTTCTTAGTCATTGCATTTGGCAGCATGACAGATTTGAATCAGTTACTGTAGTCAGTTAGACTCTGGACTGGAATCAGAGGTAAACAGCCCAGATGGGAATTAATAAATTCAATTCCCTTTGATGCATTTTCGGCAGAGTCCCTTTATGGCAAGGCACACAATGACATAGCTAAAATTTCTACTGACAAAATTAACAGAACTTCTAGAGACAGAATCTATGGCAGCAGATAATACCACAAAACCTAACAGAACTGCTTTTCAGCCACTTGTTTTAAAATCAAGAGCCAGAGTTCAAATTCTCTGATATGCTGCGGTGACCAGTTATCCAGAAACATTTTCTTTGCCTAATTTTAGCTCTGTGTTATTGCTGCAGGAACACAGACGTTTAGTAGTTTAGTATATGATTCCAACTAGGTTTGTGTTCTGGTTTGACCACAGGCAGGACTGCATACTTCAGAGGCAGCCTGAAGAGCCTCACAGACACCCTTTATGAAATAAATGGAATTTTCCCCGAATGAAGTTTTTCTGACCATGTTATTTTACGACCTCTCGGAAATACTGTGATAGATTCACTGTCTATATAAAAGTCCCATTCTTTCTTGGGGATGTTTTCAGATTACTTATACAAGCAAGTCATAGATGTGACTGGGTTGCTGTGACTTGCATACAGAAGGCTGACCATACAAGGGACTGAACACAAATTTTCCAAAGACAAGGACAGTTGGCCTAACACTTTCCCTCTACTCTCTGCACTGCTGCCTGGTTGACTGTGACTGCTTCCTAGCCAGCATGGGTTTTAGCAGCAGTTTAGTTACAACGTAGAGCCTAGTGCAGACAAACACCTGATCTTAGACATAAATAAATGAGCTCACTGCAGAGCCATGCTGTCACAGCTAGACTGCTAACAGCTCTGAGACTACATCACTGGAAGCTGGTTTGTTACACAAAGTCATGCTGGGGATGCAATTAAGAGGTATCCTTTCTTTAGGACCTTTTGGTGATGGGTTCCACAGATAACAAAGCGCTGTATAAAAAGGTAACCTTTAAATGAGCTGTCAGCCTGCAGCATTTACTTCTATTCTGCTAGGCAGCAGAAAAGGTCATTTGGCTCGTTAATCCACTTCTTAGCCATCAGGTGTCCACAGGAGAACTACTCCACGCTTTCCCTTGACATCAGTCACTGAGAAATTCCAACACCTACGAACAAGCTTAGGCCTACATTAGAAAGACTCAAACCCACAGTTGTGTGCCATGGAAAAAGAGCAGGAGTGACTGGAAACATCACCCTGTTCTGATTCATTGCCACAGTAGGGAATTTGTTAGGCAAAATCCTTCCTTTTAGCAAGTGCACCTGAGCACTTGTTCATTTTATGGTAACTACTCTCCATAAAGCACCAAGAGATACACCAATTGCAGCCACTCTCCTTTGATTTGTAACAGATCTACAGGTAATTTCAGCTGTCCAGTTTTCTAGCCAAGAAGCAGATTTCTCCAGTTTGCTCCTCTAACCACATCATTCAATATCAAAATTTAGTGTTATTCTAGCTAACTTTGCATTACACATAACTCCAGAACCTTGTTTTGTAAACGTAAAGCCCAAACAACAACAAACAACAATTGCTTGCACATATTTTTTTTCTCCTCTCAAAACGACATTTTGGAAAAAATTCCATTTGTACATGTAATCTGTATCCACAGAGATTCCTACCTAGAATCTCTGCAGCTTCCAAGTGCCGCTCAGGATTTATCTGTGCCGTGAAAGCAAACACTGCTGGGGATGTCAGCACTACAGAAAGGCCATGGGGCTGGGGAAAGAAAAAAAAAAAAAAAAAAGAGGACATGTACTTTTAACTTCAATGTGCTTTAATGCTCATTAATGGCAGATAACAGAGAACTGAAACGTATAATACAAAACCAAAGATAAACCAAGTTTTACCACTAAAGAGTGATCCACATTATAATCCTTTGGTTTATAAGTTTTCACCAAACCAGAAATAGGGTAAGACATTCCATGGCTGGAACAGAGAGCAGAGAGCAAGTGGTTAGGGCAGCACTCCTGGTATTTGGAAAATTTGTTGTGTGGTCAGTTTTTGGTATGCGAGTCTCTTCAGTACAGACACTCAAAAGGTATTGACATACAGCTATGGTGTGGATATTAGGTACAGACAACCCTCCTCCCTCTGCACCTCAGGGACACAGCTGTAAAAAACAGTACCTCCTTACTTTGTGAGTGTGAAGTTACATTACTCCACTGACTGGACTGAAAGATGTTCGGTTCCTGAAATAATACAGATATGCTAAAAATACCATGACCTGCATCCCTACGTGATCACACTGCCTGAGAAAAATAAACATTAATTTTAAGGTATAATTAAAAGAGTAGACTTGCTCAAAGAAAAGGAATGAAAGGAACATATTTGAAAAGAATGACTGCTAATAACTTCACACAATTCAGGCTTAGGCATTGCTTCTCTGAGATTTTCATCCAAATGAAACTATATTGCCTTACAATATTAATTACAACTCATTTCAGCCTGCTGATTGCCTATCCTACAGATAAACTTACAGACAATTGCATCAGTTCAGGAAAAGCACAACATTACATCATTCTGTCTCACTGCAGAAAAGCTGGCATGAAATCTAACACTTTAGATGTCATTGACTTTTTTTTTTCTTTTACTTTGATCTTTACTATCAAGGAGGTAAAGAAGGCCGTGTTTTGCCATACACAATCCTCATACACATAAATGCCAAGAGCCCATCAATTTCTCACAACACACAGCTCCCTCAGCATCCACAAGCCAGGGTACAATCCCTCACTATATATTCAGCAACAAAGGTAGGGACATATTTGACAATCTAAAACAAACACTAGCTAGAAGCTGACCTCATGTGGGGTTACTGTTTGTCTGTACTCACCAGAGATGGACACCAGCATTGCCAAAGCCAATACCAGCAAAAGCACTTGCCAGGTGCATGTTGGCTCTTGCTTCACGGTCTTCAGGGTTTCTGATGGCTCTGTGCACCAGTAAATTCACAAAGGGATTGGTGATTCAGGAGGGAGAAGGGGGAGAGGGCTTCTTTATGGACAGATAGACAAAATCCTTTAAGATAAGCTGAGGTAAAACTGCTAGAAATGGGATCAAGTCACACTGCAATAAGAGAACAATCCTGCTTCTGGATCACTAAGTAGATCACTGACTCAGTGAAAGGCAAGCCTCCTTTCACTTTTCCAAAAACTGAGTAAATATAGTGAATTTAACCATATTCACCTTAGTGGTGATTTAAACAATTCTCCTTAGGAGCTTTGGCCATTCTATGTACAGCTCAAGGATCACTCCAGCCTTATACCATCTCATTAGGTGATGGTCTAGACCCGATCACCTGTTGTGGGAAAAAGACAGGGTTCCTTGCCTTCTTGTGCCTCAGGTTCCTTGTGCACTTTGACAACGAGGAGAAAAAGTCTCGTGAATATATTCTACATGAACAAGAAAAAGCTATTTTGACTAGCTAGGTACTGTAAAAACTCTTACAACAAAACCCAATGATGATCTTTAATAGAAGGGCACAAGGTACACAAAAGCTGTATAGAGGCTAAAACTATTCGTAGGGATGAAAAGCAACACCCAGTTAAGTCAATCCCTATTCTAAATTGAAGGTCTTCTAAGTATGAGCAAGTTTTCAATAAAGGCATAATTTTGCACATTTGTAAGTGCGTGTGGTTACCTTCTTGATGGATGTGTAAGTATCTTAATTTACACTGGCAGGCACAGAAGTTTCATCAGGAGTATTTTGTTCAGTTTGTTACATATTCCCATTATACTGTCATAAAAAGTTGAGTCTTGGAAAAATATGTAACTGATGCTCCCATATTAACTGAGCAGCCTGAAATACCTTATTAAATATAAATTAAATAAATATAAATAATATAAATATAAATTAATATAAAAATACCTTATTAAATAAAATTAAATAAATATAAAAATAACTTATTAACCCCAAGGTTACTTACAATTTTATTTGAAAATATTTTTCCCTTTATTTAAGAAAAACCCAGGGTAGGAAACGAAAGTTTAGTGTCGCAGCTTGCCTTAATTTAGCCCAAAATTCAAACTCTTCCAAGCATCCCTTTCAGGGCACTGCAGACAGAACATAGTGCAGGGCAGATGGCTGTTAAATGTATTACCTTTTCAAATATTTAGCCACAATACGCAGAGCGTGAAGAGCCCAGACATCACTGATAGGGTTGCTGCCTTGGTAAGCTGGTCGGTTGATGGGGTTTGAAGGGCAGGGACTGCGCATGTTGTAAGGAAGAGCAGTGTAGGATTCCAGAGCATGGCTAGCAGAAAGATTAAAAAGTTAATTATTTAAGGGTGAGAGCTCCATGTTACTGCCCTGCTGTCCTTTAAAGGCAGGTTCTTATTTATTTCTGGTGTTTAACAGTTGCCAAAACCAAAAATACAAACTCACAGAGAACTGGGAGAATGCCGGGCAGGCACCTCCAGAGGGCTTCACTCTCCAACAAACACACAGATGGCAATCCAAACACAGTCACTATCTATCAGCTCACACCATGCTCAGAGCTAGGTTGGATGCACTGGCACCTTGGTGTGTAATGCTTTTCACTGAAGAACACTGTACATGTGCAATGGGTGCATTTCCTTTCTGTGGGACAGGAACTATAAGAAGCTTTAGCACTGGAAGCATCATAAGGTACCTTTCTTTTAGAAGTATCGACCTTCAAAAAATTAGGAGTATGATATTTGAGCTGAGTGCAACTGCCAGTAGTCTCATCGCTGAGATACCCGTGAATCTGACCACATAAAGAAGGGGCACTGACTACATGGCTACATTTAGATCTACAAAACTACGGACAAACCACTTTCGTTGGTGAACAAATGCCTTGATTCCATTCAAGACATTGCAGTTCAGGGTACTTCAAGCTTGAGAAATTGCAGTTTCATTACACCTCTAGTGCTTTAATATACACAGAACCCATAAGCAAAGTAAGCTCTGGCTCTCCAATTAGAAACGTCAATGCATTTTGTGCAATTAAAAGCTGTAGGTTTAAGATGAAGAAATTTTGTGCCAAGTGACAAGCAAGTTACAAGAGAGGCTCCAAAGATGGCCATAACTGGGTAAAGACCTGCCAGCATCTCACAAGCCTTTATAAATTTTTATTGACACGTCATGGCTTTTGTTCTAAAATCCTTGTTCTCTATTCCCTGCCATGTCTGTGAGACATGATAAATGCTGTCACAGTTCCGATTAATCATCTCCATGATCTCTTGGAAAAGGACACCTGGACCCTCTTTCCTGACAACAACCATCCTGGAAGCAAATTTCTGCAAATGAGTGATTCGGTTCCATGCATTCTGAGGGAGGCAGTGAAACTAACTAAGAGGAAAGTATAAGAAAGCTCACCTTAACAAGAAGAGCAAAAGGAGAAAAAAAAAGATCATCCTCTTTTGTTCCAAAAATATTTTTTTTTCTACAATCATCATAGTAAAAATACAAAACTGTAATAAGTTCAGGTAATAAGCCTACACAAAAAACTTACCAAAGCACATCAAAGCCACTGTTGGCCACTATTCGTTCAGGCATAGACAGTGTGTGCAAAGGATCAATGATGCCTAATGTTGGCTTAATGGCTCTCGAAGCAATACCTGCAATATGTAAGTGAGGAAAATGCGTTAAAGATTTTTTGCAACAAAATAGGACAAGACAAGCTTAACGTTCAAAACATCAAAATAGGGAGGGAAAATTATTTGAAACTATGAACATAAAAGTGAAGAGAGAGAAGGGAGAGCAAGGAGTATCTATAAATGTAGAACATAGATATCCTACTGATGATGAAGTCCCTGTAACAGGGTTATACGATTTGAGAATTTTGCCTGAAGCGGTAAAAGCGTCCTCTCTCTGTTTGCAACCCTCCCTGGGCAGCCTATACTCACAAAATGTCTATGCTGGATGGCATCTGCAGTATTCTTAGATTTGTATCTTCTGTGAACAATCAGAGGGCAAAACTGGTTTGTGTCTACAATCAATTGCTATTGCCAGTTGCTGTCTTCAGCATCTGTAATAACCCTGCCCTCGTATTTTGTTTATGGGGGCACAGATGTAGCTTTGAGGGAGAGACAGACACAGACTGACTGACTACGTATAGACTAGAAAACTTCTGAGCTATCATCAGAACCCCTCAGCACACCCATTTGGGTCCCAAGTACTGCAGATTGTGTGGCATATAAAATCCACATGTTCAGAAGTAAAACCTCAAAAGAGCTATGACGCTCAAGATGACATTTTAGCCTTAATCTTTATTTGCCGGGGATGAAAAGGCCAAGGGAAGACTGTCCCTCACTTGCACAGCATCCCAGGTCTGAGATTTCAAAAGTCAGGAAAAGGAACATTTGGTTGTAATTACACAACAAAGAAACAGAAGTTTTAAAAGTAGAAAGAAAAATACAGAGGAAATAAGGAACAGTTGGTTGACCTTGAATATAAGTAGAAATTTCCTTTGCAATTAACATTTTCTGCCATTTAAGGACTTGAAAGATTTTAGTTTCCTGTTTTGCCTTCAAAATATAATCCAATGTATTACATAGGTATTTCATTATGTTAATATGTTATGAATTTAATTCAAGAAGGAAACATTTAAGCTCTTCAAATTTGCCTGTGGCAGTTAAACAAAACGACACCTGAAATGACATGCGGTATCCTTTCCTTTCACAGCAGGGAAATAACAAAGACATTGGAAAAGCAATTGTCTGGCGCAGCATACAAAAAAACCCCACAAACCAACCAAACAAAAAAACCCCAAACAAAACAGCAAAACCTCACCAGTTTTAACTTTTAGTTCTTTGAAGTCAAAAATGGCAACACCAGTGGTTTCACTTCCAGTGCCAGATGTTGTAGGAACTTAAAAGGAAGAATGGGGATAACAACAAATAAACTATATATAATATTGCAAAATAAGTAAATAAAACCACAATAGTAACACCACCAAAAACACAGGAACCAGGAAATCTTGGAGGAATCCCTGATCCCAAGCCAAGAGGACAAAGAGAAACTATTACTTTGATCTCTTCTCTCAGTAAAAGCAGTCTAACTCAGTTAACAAGACAAACTAATGACAAAAGCTCTGATTTTACACTGAAGTAAATAGCAAAATTGCTGCTGAATACAACTAGAGGACATGAAAGCCCAAAGGAAGCTGAAACAGTCATGATAAACTGATTTCAACAGAAATATCACAGAGAGTGTAGAATAACTCCCTTTCCCTCCAGCCCTCACTCTCCACACATACCCCTCCTGCTTTACCTGCAATCAGTGGCTTGAGGGTAACAGTGACAGGCTTCCCTTTCCCAATAGGAGCATTGACATAATCCAAGAATTCTGACATAGGGCTGGCTGCGAACAGGTTGGCAGCTTTACAGGTGTCTATCACAGACCCACCTCCAACAGCAACATAGGCATCAAACCCTCCCTTTTTGGCAAATTGAATGGCATCCAGGAAACTTGGAAAACAAGAAGAGATTTCCAACTAGTCAGGATTAAACAAGTACATAGCGAAACTAATAATTAAGACCAGCATGCAGTTCACAAGGAGGTGTTTAAAAAGCCATAGGGAATGCTGGAAAGGCCTAGGCACTACTTGGAGAAGCGCACCATCAGAATTAAGTAGTACCTTTGGTCTGTTGGTTCCACCCGGACATTATCATACATCTGAAAGTTTATACCATATTTTGCCAAAGAATTCAGTACTGCATTTACAGGAGGGAGTTTGGAGAGGTTTTTATCTGTCATCAAACAAACTCTTCTAGCACCAAGATTCTGCAGGTCCTACAATAACAATGACATTAAAAAACAAATGACTAGTAAAAATCATATATTCAACAATTTAAAAACAAATCCAAATCAACAGACCAATTAATAATAAAAAAAACCCCAACCAAAAAATAGCTGATTATTGTAAAATTTTTAAAACCTGAAGAAAAAGAGCCTTAACCACACACAAATAGGATGCAGAAAGCAGCATAAAGTTTAAACCTGCCAAAGTGATATAGCTGAAGTCCTACGATAGAAGAAAACTAAAGTTGTTGAACCACATGGTTAAGGCTACAGTAAAATGTAAAACTCTTTTTAAAAATGTTTTTTCCCCACACAGTTCCTGTGACAATAAAAAGGCCTTTTCACAGGTTGTCTCCCCTAAATGCCTACCAAAACACAGGATCAAAATTTTGCAAATTTAATACTGAATATTAATTTATTGATGAAAAATCAAAATAAGGTGGCAAAAGAGAGAAAAATAATACATCCCAACCTTTGCTAAATTAATTGTCACAACAGCTATATGATATACGCATTCTAAATAATTCTAATGCTGTTTAAAGACAGAGGTTCTGCCTAATTTCATTTACTGACTGTTGTCTTACTTTACAAATTTGCAAATAAATAAGAGAACTGGTAATGCCAGAAATGCCAAGAAAGGAGGAGAAATGATAAATGAAAAAAGCCAGCGATAAAGGCAAACTGGAACAATGTATTCAGGTGAATCATCTCACAGTGCTGCAACAAAAATTCTTCATTTTCATAGTGCAAACTCAGAGCTGAACGAGTATCTAGCTAATGTAATCAAAAGTCTCTGATTCATTTAAAGGAGCAGTAGATGAGACAAAAGTGATCTTGAGAAAATCCTGGTGAGTCACCAGGATTCAAAACTTTCTGAATTAAATTCTCTGTCAGAGAAAAATACTGTTGCGTAATCCTAGCAAATCATCAGTTATCTAATTATCCCCCAAACTGCATTTCATGCTCTCACTTATACCACAGCAACACTGATGCAACATGTTTCTGTTTTGTACCCAACAGTATTTTCCAGCCTTTTTACACTGGTATTTATGACAACACATACAGCAAATCAGTGGAGACTCAGACATGTCATAAATAAATTTTCCTTTATCAAACGGATTAATAGCACCATCAGCCCTTTAGATGGACTTACACCACGGCAGCTTACCATTCCAATCTCCTTTGTAACTCCTTCTCCATATCGGATGTTTGAAATGGCCATCTAAAAAAAACCAACCAAAAACAAACAAAAAAAAACAATCAAAAACAAAAACAAAATTTTTTTTCTGGAAAAATGGATAAACAGCATCTATTACCACACAGAAAAAGTGAAATATAAATATTTAATAATGACACTATTTGTTAAATGCCATATTTAGCAATTAGTATTTTGTATGCTACTTCAAAATCAAATACATACCTCAAATGCATAGTCTGTGCTTCCCAGGGTAGGCTGCTCAGGGACTAGAATGGAAATGAAACAGTAAAATTAGGGAAGAAAAAGGTATTGCAATCTGTTTCTCAACGCAAGAGTTGACAGACTCCCTTGCTTTTAGAATCACTAATACATTTGCACAGGTTGTCTCAGCTTGTCCGGATAACAGTTACCCACTTCATCTCTTGGTGTTTGTGAGATTATCTAAGTATTGATTTGATTAATATAATTCAGCAAAGCAGGTATTTTTCCCCTTCTTTCAAGAATTATTTCTTATAAAAACCGAACAAGTTAGCAGGAAGTTTGTATGAGAATATTTGCAGTCTGCAAAGACCAGAAGAGCACATGATAAGTAGAGCCGAGTCTGTGCAGAGCATACAGGCTGCTACGGACAAGCTGAGAAGCGCTAGAAATATGTAGGGACTAGAGGATAACCTTCAGAACAATTTTAAGACAAATCCATGAGACATCCTCCATGTACACCTGGACAGAGAACATCTCTTGTATGTGTGGGAGCAATACTAACAGGTGTTTACACTTCTTTTTACTCCTGCCTAGTCCTATTTATAAGGGCAGTATTTCAGTAACAGCCTCTCTCTATCATCTTATTCTTGCATGAATCATCACAAAACTCAATTTCTGGCATATCCTAATTTTGCCACATAGTGAAACAAACTACATCAATGGACACTGCCCATTCTTCTCCAAGAAAAGATCAGATGAGGCATTCTGCTCTTCCTGCTGAAGTCATGCCTTACGTGTGCTATATTAGTTGAAAATATGCAATTTGAGTTCAGATCCAATGAGTGAAGCCATGATAATGAGTCTTACTATAAGAGACACTCCAGGGTGCACTGATGCACTGACCCACAACAGTAACACATAGATGTATTAAAATCCTTTATGCCCTTTCTATTGAAGGCCAGGCCAGCTGCTATCAGCTCTTTCATTGCCACCTCTTGCCAGGCTGGACATGTTTGACCTCTCCTGGAGCTTGAGTCTGCTGTACTTGCATTCATTAATTTGACAGGCTAAGAACATGTCCAAACCATTTACTCTCTTGCTTTCTGATATATAAAGTATAATAGATGTCCTCTTGTTATATTCTTGAGCCAAACTTAAATTTCAGGACAAATTTTACTGAGTTCAAAAATTGCACTATTTCCTTGAACACTGCCAAGAAACATAAATAACTTTTATTTTTCCTCTACAGTCCATGTTAGATCAATTCTGACTATTTAGAGACTTACTGAACTGATATCATCTTGCTACACTATAGACTCAATTCATGCTTAACAGAGAGTGTGCTTAACTAAGGCTTCTGTTTAGGAAGAGCTTAGTTTGAATTGATTGAGTAGGTCATCAAGCAGACAAGCAGAAGAATGAGATTCTATTTCTCAGCTGTGCTATTGTCTTGCTGCATGATGGCCGTGGACAAAACAAGTGTCTGAACATAGATATGGCTTTTCCATATGTGAAATGGTAATGGCAATTTTTAAAAAAGTGTCTTCAGTAAATGATGTGAAACCAAGCTACTCAGAATTACAACTTACAGAAATTATGGCCCCAAAATACCAATTTTTAGTGGATCTGGAGACTGATCAGCTATCTGGAGACTGACACAGATAGTTATTCTCATAGCCTCCCTACAGTCCATGCACACAGAAACTCCTCCAGGGTGGCTCAGTTACTGAGCACAGGCCTCCTGCTCTTACTCCACAACCCTGGCCTGAGCTGTGTTCTTGGCACTGACTGTATAAAAAGCTTAAAATAAAGATTTTATTCCCCAAGTCAAAACAGACCTTTGTGAATAGTTACTTTTTATCCATATTGCTTCCTGTTTCCTTTCTAACGTAACAGGTATGTATCCAAAAGCAGATGTAAAGTGGAGATGATTCAGGTGGCGACAGCAGCAGCAGCAGCCAGAGCAAATGTCTGATCAGCTTGCCTCATGGTATGGGGATGGAGGGGACAGGAGGCAGTAATTGTGGTTTATGTGGGATCAGTGAATCTCTCCAACAATAACCACTAGCCCTGTACAGCTGCAAAATACAGACTTGCTTACCTTATCCTATAAGCTGTTCTCTTTCCCACCTGTTGCCTGCACCTCTGCCTTGGTTACACTGATACATGCGGTTCTGCAGGGCCACGGTCTCCTACAGAATTTTACTCTGGAGACACAAACTAAGTCTTACCTTGGGAATAAGCGTGGCCATGGCTCGGGCACCGACATCTAGTTAAAATGTTAAAAAAAAAGAAAAAAGAAAAAAAAAAGAGAGTATGTTTAAAAAGGGAAACTAAAGCAGACAAACGAATCTGCCCTTGCCTAAAAGTCTCCTGCAAGCACCCGTTCCAAGGGCCTCCAGCGGTGTGCGGCGGGAGCGGGGACGGAGCGGCCGCTGCTTTTCACTCTCAACACGCGGCTCCCGCCCGGCCCCGGCCCCCGGCAGTGCCGGCCCCGGGGGAAAACCTCCCGTCCCTGGGAGCCCCGTCCCGCCGCACTCACGCTGCCCGCTCCAGCTGCCGCAGCAGGCGCACGGCCCGATCCCGCCCCGCCGCCATCGCGTCTGCGGCACACGGGGATCGGGAGCGGGATCGGGGTCGGGATCGGGACGGGGCCGGGCCGGCGGCAACGCCTCCTCCCGGGGCAAGGGGCCGCTTCCCGGCCCCGCACCAGTCACACGGGTGGAATGAGAACTGTCCGCACTCAGTCCCTCCCCAGTCAGTGCCCCTGCGGCCAATGCGGGCACCGAACTGCAAAACCCAACCCGCGCCTGTTTCAAGGCACGCAAAGCCTGATTGCTAAAATACACAACACGGAGTGCCAGTGAAGAGATACTGAAGTACAGTTAGGGCTGAGTGCGGGTCAAAGTACTTGTCACGGAAAAATACTGAAAGTAGTGGGACTGCAGAGCGAAAATAATAAAGAAGCCACTGTCCTGAGCATAAGGCAATTTAAAATTAAGTGAAATACTTTTCAGACTTTTTTAGTGGTGCTCAGTGACAGGACGAGGAACAATGGCCATAAATTACAACACAAGGCGTTCCACTGCAATGCAATGGAGAACTTCTTTCCACTGACGGTGACAGAGCACTGGAACAGGCTACCCAGGGAGGTGGTGGAGTCTCCCTCTCCGGAGACATTCATAACCCACCTGGATGTGTTCCTGTGTTACCTGCTCTAGGTGGCCCTGGCTTGGCAGGGGGGGTTGGACTAGACAATCTCGGGAGGTCCCTTCCAACCCTAAGAATTCCATGATTCTGTAAAGTTACATGGTAAACTACAGTGCAGGATGGATCAAAATTATGTAAAGACATTCTTAAGATTCTCTAAGCTATGCTGCTTAGCTGACAGAGAAGTGTATCATATTAAGCAAAGCTAATATTGGAGTCTTGCAAAGAAAGGATCACTTTTCTGTTGCAGCAGGTATTTTGCCTTTGCATGCTGGTATGATTTATTTATTAGAAAGTAGTAAAAAAAGGTTAATGCATCAAAAAAGGAATTTACTTGCAATACACTTTTAAAGGCAGGTAGCTGGTGTATTCTGGGTCTCCGGGAAAGTAAAAGTACTTCAGAAGATTGAAGATACTGAAAATTCTCTTTCGTGGACATGCAAGTATCTGGTGTCCCTGCCCATAGCTGAGGGGCTGGAACTAGCTTTAAGGTCCCTTCTAACTCAAACGATTCTGTGATTCTATGAATGGATTAGTTGAGCTTAAAAAGGACGATTTTGCAAGGTGCTGAGCTCAGAAAAGCATATTAATGGCCTGACTAGGCACCTACATGAAGTTGTGAAACCATCCATTTGTGAGAACCAGAAACTGGCAGCAACACAGGGGCACCTGCACCTCTGCTTAGGTTACTTCATCGCTGCTGGAAATGTACAAACTGCCCAGGATTTTGGTGGAGAGAGTTTATCAATAACCTCATCAGCAGCATAGAATACTTACTTTGTGTGTGTATGTGTTGTGAAAGACCCCATCTCTCTGGCTGAGCAGGTAAAAGACATGCCCTATGGAAATGTCTGGAAGTTCAGAGGTCTGGAATGTATCTCTAAACAACCTTTCCCACCTGTTAAAGTATTTTTTGCCCCTGCTTTGTCTTGATACTCACACTGAAGGCTTGATAACACAGGGTTGTGTCCATAAGACCATTCCTGACACCAGCAAGACTGAAGCAGGCTGCAGCAGTGCAGACTGCTCAGGACAGGGGCAAGAAACATTTAAGAGGCAAACAACACATGGTTGAGTGCTACTCAGTCCATCAGTGCCATCCAAGCCCCAAGGTGTACATACCCCTTCTGCCCTCGCCAGCTGCCTTACACAGAGGTTTTGCTTTTGGATGCTTTTTGCTGAAGCTGCCATCCAAACTGAACTGCTACAGAATGAGACGAGAACTGCTACAGTCACCCAGCTTTTTCAAAAACTCATTTGCAGCGAGGCATTATGATATCACTAACAATTCACAAACTTGAAAGTTCGAAAAACTAATTTAACAGAGATTGCTGAAACTTGTTTTACTAACTTTCTTACCAGGAAACAGCATATTTCCTGTAGTTAAGCCACACGCTGGTACAATTTTTTTTTTTCCTACATGGTACCTACAAAGTTCAAAAGAATAATCTGCAGAAGTCTGAGATCATTTCCACTATCAGCTCTCAAACTGCTTGGTGAAGAAAAACATTGTAAAACTATTTCTAGGAAATGATGGATTGGCACTGCTGTGGGGAGAAATTCAGGTTTTAACTTGCTGTTCAATACAAACATTTTTCTGTTGAATTCAATGGCTGGTTTTGACTTCCTTTTCCAATCAACAGATCGCTCTAGAGAATCTGTACAATTTCTTAGGCTCTGCAATAAATCTTACAGTAAGTTTTCACATCCCTGTGGTAACTCAGCCTGCATACCCGAGCTGAGCAGCAGCAGTTAACGAACAGAGCAAGAGCTCCACCGTCAGGCTCTTGCCCAGAGCAGAAAACAGCAGCCACATCCTTTATCTGTGGCTGTTACTCCCATCAAAAAACAGGTCACAGCTGCAGTCCATCCCCAGTCCCAGCTACCTGAACATGGGACAGCTTTGCCCAGCCTCGGCCCTGCCCGGAGGTGCTGAAGCAACATGTGACACATGTCATCGCGAAAACCCCAGCCTGGGTGGAACCAGGGCACCCCAACGCCTTGATACACCACCAATTGCCCTTGGATGGACAGCACAGCCAGCTAAGATCCAAAAGCAGGACATTTTAGAAAAGCCAGAGCATATTTATTGACAAGTATGTGCGTGAACAGAGCACGGGGCGGGAGGCTGCAAGCGACAGTCCCTTCCCACGCCTTAGCGGGCATCCCCAGCCCGTGCTGCACACTGTCCCTCAAGCCTTCTTCCTCCTGCCGCCGCCGGTGCCACCGCCTGCGGGCTTTTGCTGCTGCTGCCGCCGGGCTCCGCTCTTCTTGCCGCTGCGGCCCGGCCGCTGCTGCCGGCGGCCGCGCTTGCCCCGCTGCGACTGCTTCTTGCCCTTGTGCGCGGCCGCCTCGGCCTCCTCCTGGCGCATCTGCTTGTTGACAGCGCGGGTGATGTCCAGGACCGGCTTCTTGCTGCCCATGTCCCGCAGCAGCTCCAGCTGCCGGCTGCGCTCGGCCGCCAGGTTGCCCAGGAGCGGCTCGAAGCGGCGCTTCTTGCCGCCGCTGCGGGAGGGCGGCTCCGCCGGCTCCTTCGGCAGCCGCGGCTGGAAGCGGCCGAGCGAGGCGGTGGAGACGCGGGCGACGCGGGCGACCCGGCGCAGCTCCTGGCGGTCCTGGTGGCCGGTGGGGTGCAGGGGCGCGGCGGGCACGGCGCTGCCGGCGCGGTGGGCCCGGGCCAGGTTGCGCAGCCGGTTCAGCTCGTTGCGCGCCACCCGCTCCCGCTTCTCCCGCCGAAGCCGCGCGAACTGGTCCTCCTCGGGGTCGGCGCCCGCCGGCACCTCCGCCAGCCAGGCGCGGGCCGGGTCCCCGCCCGCCCGCCGGTAGCCCCAGCGCCGCCGCCACTCCTTGGCCTGCTCGTCCCACACCAGCGAGGTTTTCTTGCGGCGGCGGATGCCCTTCAGCCGCGCGAACTGCTCCCAGCGCGTCGGCGGCCGCGGCCGCGGCGGCGGCTTCTCCCGCGGCAGGCGGAAGGTGGGCTCGGGCAGCCGCGCCACCAGCGGCCCCCCGGCCCCGCCGGCGCGCTCGGCCGGCAGCTCCCAGAGCCGGGACACCAGCAGCTGCGTGTTGTCGCGGGCCAGCGCCCGCAGCAGCTCCTCTCGCCGCGGGCCGGCCCCGCGCAGCGCTGCCGCCGCAGGCGGGTTGCGGTCCAGCGCCAGCAGGTTGCCCAGGTCGAACTCCAGCTCCAGCTCCTTCTCCACCGTGATGCTCCGCCGCTTCTCCGCCTCCTGCTCCTCGGCGGCCGCCAGCACCTCCTCCACCCGCACGGCCGCCATGGTGGCGGCGGCACCACGTGCGAGCGGCCCCGCCGGTGCCCCGGGAAGCTCCTCCGGGTCAGAGCGCCGGAACCACCGCGCCCGGAACAGCCCTGCCCGCGGGGGAGGGACCGGCGCAAGGCCCGCCTGGAGATGTAGTCCCGGGCCGCGGGAGGTCCTGGTGGTGGCGGCCCCGCCTGAGAGAGCCGCGACTCCCCAGGGACCCTCCCGCGGTCTGCGCCCGCCGCTGCGGTGTCACCGCGCCTTGGCGTCCCTGGCTTACGGGCTGGCGCTTCCTATCCCAGAATTGATTAGGCTGGAAAAGACCCCTGAGATCATCGAGCCCAACCTATGGTCGAACAACAGCACCATGTCCCTAGAGTATGGCACTAAGTGCACGTCCAGTCTTTCCTTAAACACCTCCAGAGATGGTGACTCCACCACCTCCCTGGACAGTCCATTCCAATGATTAATCGCCCTTTCTATGAAGAAATTTCTCCTAATGTTCAACCAGAACCTCCCCTGTCACAGTTTGAGCTTCTGTCCACTTGTCCTGTCACTTGTTTGGTAGAAGAGGCCAACCCCCACCTGGCTACAACCTCCTTTCGGGCAGTTGTAGAGAGCAATAAGGTCACCCCTGAGCCTCCTCTTCTCCAGGGTGACAACCCCAGCTCCCTCAGCCGCTCCTTGGAGAACTTACCCTCTAAACCCTTCACTGATGCTATCACCAATGATACTGACGAAATCCCCAGTGACTCCCAGGCTGCAGCTGTGCAGGGGCTGTGGTGCCCCAAACCCATCTCTCACTGCCAGGACGAGTGGTGCTGAGGTGGAAAATGTGTGCGAAGAGCCTGCAGGTGAGGGGAGACAATGCCAAAAGCATAGAGTTGCTACCATCATAAAGACAACGCAGTCCTGCAGCTTCCTCTGCCTCTGCCTGCACTAGAGATGTGCCATGACGTCCAAACTCTGAACAGGACAGAGACTGCAACACAGGAACATACTTTCCCCATGGTTTTTGGTTGTTGTGTTGTTTTGGTTTTTTTCTTTCTTCCCTTCTTTTAGCATATGATTATGTTTAACACTCCTTGCTATAAGCAGTACCTGTAAGCGCTCCTTGCAGGACCAGAATTCTAGTATTTTATTGCAGGACCCCAGCGACTGATGCAGGTTTTGGGGGGAAATCTCCCTGCAGAGAAGGGAGAGGAGGAATTTGGGAAGCAGTATCACCTGGCAGATGTCTCATCAGGCATAATTACAAGTGAAGTGATCGGGTGATATGGTGTGCACCCAAAGGTCAGCTGGGCCAAAGATACCCCTGTGCTATTTTTAATCAAGTGTGCTATGGAAGAATCCTTTTATAGCTATACAGTGATTTGGCTTGTATGGCCATGACATTTTCGTGCCCCAAAAACAAGTTCATGGTAGCACTTAACTTCATGGTAGCTGAGGGAAGGGATGGGAGGTTTTTTATACTAGGTACAGTTCTCTACTAAGTTATATCACATCTTTCCTTTATGTTAGTTTTGGAGTGATGGAAATGATTCTGAGTGTAATGCCACAGCAGTATCGTTGAAATGAAAAGAAAATGTAACATGAAGACAAATAGCTGATTCTCTAATTCTAATGGCTAACATAACCAAAACTTGCCCTTTTAAAGTCTAACTATGATAATTTTCTTTTTTCCCCCAGGTCAGCAGTTTTGAGCATGATTTGTAAACTGTGGAGCAGCAGAGTCCCTATGTATTTAAATCCAAGCCAGATGGCACAGACTATTTTCTCATTTACCACAAGATGGCATTGGATAATATTTTGTTCCCTAATTTGGACAGCTCATACTTTCACCTGGAATAGCAGATAAAATTATTTTTAAAAGCAGTTCTTTCAAGAGATGCATAGGTACTATCCATACTTAGGCATAAATTTAAACTTTTGAACTGCAGGGTCCACTATTTTGGCAGTTTGGTTAATACCTTTACACTGATTCATGTACCCTACTGTTTTATCTTTTTCAGCTAACATCTTGGAGTTCTTTTGGTCTATATTTATACAAAGCCCAGAATGTTGCAGGTAAATGCCTGGGACTGAGAGGACATAAATGATAGTATCAAGCAACTTCCGAAGTTGCTTGAAGTGTTAATGATTATCACTGGAATAGCAGAAGGAGCGCATGCCAGGAATCGATCTTCTTGTTTTAACTGAAAACATGTAGAAGAATCTCAGAAGGTAAAAACGACTTTCTGGAAACTGCTGTGTAGAACTGAATTCCAGCCTTTTTGTGCATTCCAGAAATCTGCACCTCAGAGCGAGAACGTGCTTTCGGTGATTGCAGTTTATGGTTTCACGGTGTCATTGGGAAGGTGGTAGTCAGAAGAATGTTTGAATGGATTTGTAAACAGTCATGGATATTTTGGGAAACTGTCCCATTCTGGAAAGGGGCTTCTGAGATGCTCACTATAGTGATCATAGCCACACTTTGAGCTTGTAATCCCGGTTTAGAGCTGGGAATTACAAGCAGGCACACTGCTCCTGTTAAGGGAATAGGTGTGTGTGTACTGCTGCAAATTTGGGCTTTTCAAAAGATGAAATGGTGATACCAGTGTTGAACTATAGAAATGGCTTTTAGGGAATGAACGCTCTCA